AAGAACAAATTAAAATATACCAAGCAAGAAAAACTTGTGTTTTCCAGTCTAGCCTGTTGGGGCACCACGCCCTGTCTCCAATGTCCACCCTCATCATTCCCTGTATGAACCTGCTCACATAACCATCTGTGGGCCAGTTTTTGGCAAAAAGCAGCATGCTTCTCTTGCCCCATCCACCTTACTCACCTGACCTCATTCTATGTGACTTCTTTTTGTTTCTGGGAATGAAGAGGGACGTGAAAGGACAGTGATTTGACATAGTAGAAGAGGTGAAGTGAAAAAAAGGAGGGAGGTGCTGTCAGCCATCCAGTTGAGTTTGAAAAATGTTTCCAAGAATGTTTCCAAATCACAGATTTGACAAATGTATTAAGTGGAATGGAGATTACTTTGAAGGTGATAAAGTTGTTTTGTAAAAAACAAAAACATAGCTTTGGGGGGGGGAAATTCCTTTTTTGGGGGGGGAGGTGCCCCTCATAAATACTGTTAATTTCATTTCATATCTGTCTCTTAAATGAGGGCTTACAAAATACTTCTGATACAATGACATTTCAGAGGATAAGTACTCTGCATTTTCAGGGTAAACTTACCTTCCACTCGAATCCATAGAGCATTTAACAGGAATTTGGGAGGAGTTGGGCATTTTTAACTGCAGTTGAGACCATTCTTATTTTAATCAGCAATTTTGCTTCCACTGCTTAACCACACAAAACTGCAGAAGTCAGTGAGGAGTGAGGCAGAGCCTACAGGCCCTCCTGACAATTGCCTGCCGTCTTTATGGGTAGGCCATGGGTTTCCTTCTCATTGTGAAAGGCTTATTAGTCATGGTTTGCTTTTAGCTTTTATCACATCTCTCAGCTTTAAAGGGGGATGTTCTGGGGAAAGCACCAGCATCTGTTGATAAGGATAACCATGGATTCATTTAATCATATCTTCACTAAATTACTGAAGAATATAATGAAGCATTCTGATTTTAGAAATTAGAATTTTTTTCATTGAATCACAGATATTGATCTTGATCCCAATTCCTGTGTAGATGGTAATGGTGAGTAAATCCTTCCTCTTTACTGGATATTATTCCTTAACTTCCTTTTTTGAGACTTGGAATTTTAAAGTATTAGATTTCTCTGTGGTTACTTACATTCTGGTTATTGGTATTTGAATGAGGTTCATTGATGACAACAGGACTCCCCTCCTCACCAACCGAACCACCCTACCCCATCTCACACGTGTTTTAGTCAGATGCTCTTGGAGGCCTTACTGATACGTTTTAAGATGCTTCATTGGAAATTACTTTTGTGTAGACCGAGGAGACTAAAGGCTTTATATAATTCCATCAACTGGTTGGGTTGGTCCTTTGTTATCTACTGTTGTTTTGTTCTGGGTGTTTTAAATAAAGCTTTGCCTAAAGCAAATGCACTGTCAGGATGTAAAATGTACAGCTTAGTTTGGTAAAAATAGCAGCAGCTTTTCCTTAATCCACACCAGCTCCATCATCCTTGGCAGCTGAGTTAGCTGAGTCATTGAGCTTGATCTCAGTAAAGAACACATCTTTGGCACTTGTTAATATTGTGGCATTGAATAATTTAGCCAGTACTTAAAGCAACATAAGTCAGATGTTAGACTCACTACTTTATTTTGTTCTGGGTACTCTGTTGAAGCATGAGCACAGTACCTCTTCTCTGTCTGGAGCACCGTGGGTTGGGAAGTGCAGAACTGTCAGGGACTCTGAAATGTGCTAGGCAATTGAAGCTCTTTCCTGGGCCCGCAGAGGGTCCATTCATCACTGCACCCTGTAGTCCAGCTCTTGCAGGGTCGACTTCACCAACTCTTCCCTGATGATGCAGAGAGCCAGTTGCATTTGAATAGTACAATAGCTTGTTATTAGTTTATCTTTTTTACTTTTCATTGCTCCTGAATTGTTCTTCCCTTCACATTTTTTGCTTCAGGAGCCCATCTACATAAAGCCTGTCTGACTTTATAATCAGATACCTTGTAAGATGAACCAAAGGAAAGGGGTTATGCGCTCATGAAAGTAAGATTCCATTTCTTGAGCCTGGGGGAGGTTCTGTATGATAGTCCTTTTAAGATTTTCCAATTCTCCAAATACTGGCATATATTCTTTTCTGCAGGTATGTTTTGATTACCTATTACTAAAATGTGAAATCAAATCTGATATGAATATTTCCTTAACATAATTTTCTTTTAATAAGAAACATTAATTTTGTTAACCTTTTGTAATAATATACACTGTTACGCTTGGTAGCAGCCCTTAGAGGTCCATATCTATTACTATTTTCATACATTTCTGGACAGAACTGTTTCTCATAAATCATGAAATTGTTATCGCATGGTATTCGTACAGTTAGAGTCCCTGGGTGTTGCAAACAATTAACATGCTGGGTTATGAACTGAAGGCTTGAGTACACCCAGAGGCCCCTCCGCCAAAGAAATGCCGGTCAGTCTATTTCGGGAAAATCAAGGATTGAAACCCATATGGAGAATAGTTCTCCTCTGACACAGATGGGGTTTTTATTTGTATAGTCAGCACCCCTGTTGAAAAGAGCCCATCCACCAAGAAGACATTATTATTGATTAAAATAGCAGTTGTGAATGATGAACATAAAATACAAATGATAATTGAAACTTTTTATTCTCAGCAAAATACTTTGTTTTTTAGTCATGTCACTCCATATATGTTTTCCAACTAAGATGACAGATATTTGGTCTTATGTGAAATATTAGTAAGGTCAAAGATGTTTAGATTAAGACTAATTATTAGAATATCTGTTATATGTACAGAATTATTTTACATCAGAATCAGAATAGCAGAGGGACTTCTTCCTCACGTCCTACAACTCTGGGCTTTATTCAGGAGTGTCTTCAGCCTTGATGTCCCCTCAGCCTTGGGCAGCCTGTCCGTGACTTGACTCTGACACTTGGCTGAGCGGGTGCTAAGGGAGGCAGTGTGTATGTTTGTTTTTCAGATGGTAAAAGATGACTATGAAGAGGATTCCCACATTTTCCGGAAAGCAGCCAATGACATTACATCCCAGCTGGAGATTAATTTTGGAAACCTTCCTCGTCCTGGGCGCGGAGCCAGAGGTGGCACACGAGGAGGCCGGGGAAGGTTCAGGAGGCCAGAGAATTATGGACCTAGAGCAGAAGTGGTGGTGGGTGTTTGTTTCAGAAACGCTGGGTGGTGGTTTGCTAAGAGTAGTGAGGGGATAGGGAGGCCTAAGTTTTTTCAGGTCATCAGGGGCGTGTGTCTGATTGTGGAGTATCTAGGCCGAATGCCTTCAGAACCCCCAACACGTATAAGATGAAGACTGCCTTGCCAGCCTTCGGGATCAAATCACACTACATGACAATTGCTTACTGCATAGTTTGACTGTCCTCCCTGCCCCTGCCCAGCTTTCTGATTGCCAGCTCACATGTTTTCAGGGTGAACACAAAATGATTCTCAAGGCATCAACACCTTTAATGATGAAAACCCCTTCCCTTCCCTAGGATTTTGTCAGATTCCTTACTCACACCATCCTTTCATACTTCTCAGCCACGCTCCTCTCCTAGTTCTTCAGAGAGCCATGTTCCTTCTGCCCATTGCCTACTTAACTAGAACAGATCCCTTTAACCACACTTCCTCAGAGAAGGCTCCTTCGGTCATGCTTCCCTCCAGTCCAGGCCAGAGCCTATGAACCAAGGGTTCTACTACTTCTCCTGGAAGCATTATTCCTGCTTGTATGTGTGTTCTCAGTGGTCAGTGTCTGCCTTCTTCACAATGAGCAGAAACCACGGCAGCACTTGGTCATTCTGTTGGCCAGTGTGGGTTTGGCAGTACCCTCGGGCCCCACCTTAGGGGCAGATCTGTCTCAGGACCCCTGTCTTCTGTGCATCTATTGAAGTTCATCTTAGCAACTCCTTTCCCAGAAAACCTTGCCCACCATGATGCCTGCTTTGCAGACAAATTGCAACCGACACCCTTACTATGGCCCCCCAACTCCCAGGACACCAGTTCCCTGAAATTACCACACTGTAACTTCCAGGACAGGTACTACCTACTCACCCTTTCTGTCCAGTAATAACCACTGGGTATTACAAAATGGGTCACACAGTAAGAATGTGCAGGATGGAAGGAGGAAGGTGGCTATAGCTTCTGACCCTTTGTACAGATGCAGAAACCACGGGGCTATAGCTCACTGTTAGAATAAGGACTAGAGGGCAGCTTCCCTTCCTCACTCCACGGCCCTTTGATGTCTGCCTTCCCTGTGTGGCTCCATGTAGAACCTGGTCTGTGCTTTCATGTGCATGACCTTCCTCAGTGGTACCTTTTGTCTTCCTTCTCCACCAAGGGTCCTGCCTCTCCATGTCACTTGGACCAGCCATGTTATGAGTGCCTGAAATGACAGTTGACTTGTGAACCTTGTTGTTCCTTCTCTAGACACAAGACGTGGCTCCCAACCCAGATGACCCTGAAGACTTTCCAGCTCTTGTTTGATGGAACCCAGTGTCCCTGGCAACTGAAGACAACATGGACAGACATGAAAAGAAATTGTCTTTGCTGTAGGAAGTCTTGACTCTAAGAACAATAGATGCTGCTTTTTCTCGTGTAGTGTGAATGTGTCCTACTTCTTGGTCTTGGGGTAAGGCAGGGATTTCTCCAGGCACAGGAGAGCAGTCAATTAATTCCTTGAGAGCTAGTCTTGCACTTTTCTAAGAAGGTAAAGAATGCTGATCATTTTTTTAAGATAATCCAAATGAAGTTAAAATAATATTTAAAACATATAGATTGTATTGATTCCTTCCTAAAAGCATACAGAGTAAAATATAAGTTGTAAAATATAAATTATTAAGACTATTTGGTAAGTTGTATAGATATTTGAAGACTGAATTGTTCACTGTATAAGAAGAAAAGAAAAGATGTAACTTGGCTTAATAATGTAAAGAGTTACAGCTTAGTTTTCAGAGACCAAGACACTGAAACACAATTGTATTTTTGTTTGCCTGTAAATGCTACATTCTCCAGTAAGTTTTTTGAGTTCTGGTTTTCATTTCCATTTAATAATAGCTATTGTGTAGGCACTAGCTATTACTCTGACAGAATTAGATAAAGTACCAATTTTTAAATGGTGATTTATCAAACTACCTCATGGTTTCTATGTGTATTATATACACACAAAAACTTAGCATGGATGTGCATAGTGACTAGGTAGTCTCTGGGATAAATAATACATATCTGATTTAAAAATCAGGTTATTTAATCTGGTGAACAAATGAAAAGGAGTCCTGACAGTAGTGTCATGGCATAAAGACCTTTCTTCCTCAAAAGCAAGTATCTGAATTCAACAACTGTATTTCAAAGCCACCCAACCCCGTGCCAGATTTGTAAATAACTAACATTCATTGAACCCTGATGCAGTTTTTCTCATTAGGTTGTTGTAGCAGTTCTAGAGAGTCCTTATTTATGGGCTTTGGTGAAATGGTGGGGGGTAGGGTCACCTTAGAGTTCCCCTCTCAGCAGTAGAGTTGGGGCCACTTATGGAGCCAGGGTCCAGTGGCCCAGGATAGGGCCAGGGCCAGAGGTGGCTGCTGGGAGCTGCTTGAAGAGCACACGATTCTCCCCCTTTACTAAAGAAATGGCATTGTTTGCTGCTCGTCACCTGGTCATTATGCTTTTGTTGAGATTTGAGCCTTGGTCTATGTTTGAAATTGAACTGGCTTGTAAATAAAGTTGGCGTTCCCTTCTAACTTGTGTATACAAAAGCTCCATCCTTTCCATCACACCCAGGTGAAGTGAAAGAATGGGAAAAGGCCACAGTGAACAGAAGTCAAGTTTGCTAAATAATCAAAACAGCCTCTAGACCTGTTAGTCAGACTATAGAATGCTTACTTTGGGTCAGTGCCTACATTTGGTCTTTTGTTATTAATGTTCAAGTGATAAGGTATATTAGCAAATTATTTGGGTGAGTTTTGCTCACTTTCCCTGAAGTCGCTACCGTAGTTTCGAGAGCCATGGCAGGAGCAGTCATTGCATTTGGCAGTGTTTTGTGGGGTGTCATTGCTCAGCAGATTTGAAGCTTTCATATTAAGTCATTGCCTGAGCTTAGGAGAGTGAAAAAAACGGACCATTTCAAGAAAACTCCATTAAGTACTGAGAATTCCACTTGATTTAATGTCATTAGCAACAAAACATTCTGCCCTTTGGAATTAGTTGGCAATTTCTGCGGTCAGTGTTGTTGAGTGTTCTGGGAGGGGTGGTCACTCCTTGAGCCTGCAATAATGGGCGTTCCCTCTCGATAGATGACTTCTCTCCAATTTGGCTGGGCAACGGATATCAGGTGTTTGTTTTAGCCCTTTTTCTAAATGTCCCAGTCTGAGAGACTCAAAGCAGAAGACAAGCTAAAGGGCAGGTGGGGAAATAGTTAATATGAAAGACCTTCAAGGTCAAAGTTCCCTGCTAGGCTCCTCTGAGGTTCTTGGGTACAGATCAGCTGCAGGTGGTGTGCCTCACACCACACTTCAGGCTGAGCAGACAGAAAGGTGGAGGCCAGGCATGTTTGAATTCCAAGAACAGGTTAGCAGCTGTAAGGCCACCCCCAAAACCGGGGACCAGGGATTTGCCTGTGCCCCAATACATTTGAATTGTGCTTCTAGGACATCTACTTAAGACCATGATCTGGGCCATGTACCAGGACCTGGGAGAGAGGCTGCTGTAACAAGGGACTCAGAGAACAATGTGAGCAGGAGTCAGATCAAAACCTTTGTCAGAACTTATAAATAGGGTGGGTGTGGTTCTTAACAGCTGTCACCAAAGAAAGAGGGCAGGGGCCCTTGATTTGACTGGCTGATCTCAGGAAATGTAGGCAGGGACTGGCTGCTGCTGCTTGGAGAATGGTTTGGAAGGAATTGAATTGGGTGGTTTAAAGACGTGGTCAGACTACTCTGAAAAGGAAATCTAGCCTAATGTTGCTAAGTGTTTGACACTTTAGGCCAAGCTGACCCCTCAGGGCCACAGATGCTGTGGCAGACAACTTCCTCCCTACTGTACATGTCTTTGTACATGGACACGGCATTGGTTTTAGCTGAAAGGATACCATGTGGTATTGTTTGGTTAAGTCCCCTGGAGAAGCTGGAAGCTGTCAGCACTGGGAACATGGGTAAGAGCACGCACTGTCCTCTTCTGAGTTGTCAGCAAATGAAAAGCTCTGCCAACAGCAGGCACTTAGCATGGCATCCATGTTCCTTTCACTTCTATGGCTGTCTCCCCTCAGTCTCTGCAAGGATCCTGCCTTGTGTGAACAGTCGTCTCCAACCCTGTTTGACCCAGGGCCCCGCAGGCTCTGTCAAAGTAAAGGGCTCAGGTACAAGGCCACCACTGCACAGTCACATGTCAAACGGGAAGGCCTGCCTGGCTTCCTCTCTCAGGGCAACCACATGCTTATGGCAAAGGGGAAGGGGAAACAATGCGGCTTAAAAACTCTTTTTAGTTTATTTATTCTTTTAATGAAAATGCAAAACTTGTTATTATCACCCAAGAATTGTTTTTTCTAGCCACCCCAAAAAACCCATCCTTGATCTAATCATGATCTCTGTTCCTAAGGATGTGTTCATAACAGCTTTACTCTTTTTTAGATGTTTCTTAAAGGTTCTGTCTCTTCTCCTTGTACCCCCAGTTTGTTAAGGAACCAGGATTATTGGAGGTTCTTGAGAACCTGTTGTGTACTGCTCTGAAAGGCAGGTCATACCTTGGATGTAGTACAGAAACAAGATTCTGTTTCTCCGAACCCATTGTTCTTTTCTGCTCACAACTGAGATTCTCAAGTAAGCCATCCCTTGGGTACAGCTGCGTGGAGAGGACAATAAAAATGTCATGGGCCACACACCCAGCTGAGATCTTTCTGTGCCAAGCTCTGCAAATGATACAAAGATGAGCAGGCCAGCCTCCCCTACAATGTGTCTACCTAAGTTTTCCATGCAAATGGAATCAGCGGTTATTAGACACTTCATTAAGTTTTTGTGCAAGTAGAGGTACAAACCTTGAAAGGCCTATAGATGAGGTTTAGTCACCCATTCCGGCGCTCGTGGAGATGGCCGTGTAGGGGTGACCTCAAAGGTCCCAGCAGAGCAGGAGCCTTTGGAACAAGCAGCTCCCACTGCTTCCCGTCCTGAGCTGCCTCTGCCAATCACAACTCTTTCCTTGCTTGTTATGTTTCCCATTATGCAAACCCGCTGCCATCAAGTGGATTCTAACCCATAGCAACTGTACAGGGTAGAGGAGAACTGCCCTTTTGGACATCTCAGGCTATAAATATTTACAGAAACTTTCATTTGTCTCATTTGAACCACTGACCTTGCAGTTAGCAACCCAACTTGTAGCCTACTACATCACCAGGGCTCCTTTTCCATTACCCACAAAGGCCTCATACCCATCCCATCTTCACCGTGGGCATAGCAGGCCTTGTACCAAGAAGCACTAAATGGCTTTTTCAAATATCTTCTCACAAGTGTGGTCCAATTTCAGAAGGCTTATTTAGATAACTTTTGGAGCATAGTAATTTTTTTAAGTGGGAATGCTGTCTGTCACGTGAGTATAGTGTGGCATACAGCTTGACTATAAGTCCCAGAGTTCTCAAATATTCTTCTCTAGAGCAGTCACCACTGGGCTCCGTGTGATGCAATGACTGTCCCTCCGCACCACACACCCCAAGACTTAACTACTGGAGACCTGTAAACAGTCACAGAGGTATGGGTGGCCCTGGACTCCACTTGACCTGCATTAGAGAAACAAGAAAACGTTTAAAGTATCTGAGCTGAGCCCTGAGTTATCAAGGTGATGCAAAATGACCAGACACTGCATGGTTTCGTGGTGAGGGATAGGACAAGTGAAGGTGAGAAAATTCAAGGAGAAGGTGAAGAGAAAGGAAGCAGGAGAGGAGGCCAGACGGTGCGAAGGGGAATGGTACCTTCTTCCTGGACTCTACCCTAGAGGACATGGCCATGGCAGAAAACACAATGCAGATGGCTCTTGGAATGATGTGGTGAACAGGACTGCTCCCGTGCCTCATCCTAGGGGCCTCTCACATTTCATCTGGTGTACAGCCTGATGCCATCGTAGTGGCCCTGTCTATGAACCCTTCAGAAGGTCTACATGAGCTTTCATAGGGAGAAAAGAGGGTCTACAGCTTCCATCAGGTATTTAAGGGGAAAGCTAAAAAAACACACGAAAGCTAAAAAAAAACCCCAAACACCCATTGCACTGAGGGTTTCTAGCCTAGTCCTTTCCCCCACTCAGGTCATCTGCCGGTAGACTCCAGTCGGAGGATGAAATGTCAATCTCCCCAGAAGGATGAAGTAAATACACACTCTCACGAGAGGCAGGGTTAAGGAAACGGGCTTCAGTTGCAGCATGAGAAGTTGCACTGCCAGCACAGCACTGTCGGGGTTTTCTCTGGAGGCCTTAGTCCCTATGCGTCCCAAGCCAGGCTAAAAGCTCATCTCGAAAGGTTACAGGTTTCTGATATGGAAAGGGAGGAAACAAGAGTTGGGTTTACCAGGCCCTCTCTTTGGAATTTGCTTTGTACGTAGAGTTCAACACACTGATTGCAAGGCAAATTTAGGGTTGGCCCGAGAACTGTCTTGCCAAGTTTGAACAAGTTCAAGGAAATGTCAGCCATACAGCCAGCCATGCTACAGTGAAACCCCCTGAGATGCAGAAGATAATCTGAGCCAGCCTCCTGATGGCCACTATACTGAGGTAAAGTCTAGGTTCTGGCAGCCAGGCTATCTGGCCAAACACTCAAGGCCTCCCCACAGAAGCCCCATTCCTAGGGTTGACCCAAATTCTGTCTGGTATGTGAAGCCTTTCCCCCAGCCCCTCCTCCTGCCAATGGGGCTCAGACCAGGGCAGAACAAGTCAGGAGGACGATATTCACTTCAGCAGGGTAGGTTTGTTGCAGTTTTCATGGTGTGCCCAGTAAAAGCTGCATTTGAAGTAGCAGTATCACCCCAGGAGTTTTTTGAAAATGTGTGAGCATGAGTGACATTTAGTATGTGTGTGGGGCGGGGGCGAGGGCAGGAACGCCAGGCACACTGTGTTCCTCAGAATCCTACACACTGAAAATGTCCCATCTGAAAAGTTATCGTTTTACATGGAGAAACACACATATGTAGAGAATTATCTAATCTCTCCAAGTACAACCAAGCATAAACCATATCACCTCCTCCACTCTTGCTTTTCCCATGCAAATGCTTTCCCCATTAATAAAGGCCAGTGCTCTGGTGGGATCCAACAATGCTGGCTTTAACCCTGCCAGGCAAGGAACTCCTTACCTGGGGTCTTCGGAGTAGACAACACCCGCCATTCAGAAGCATGTCAACGTTTTGCAAACTTGCTGGCAAAGAGAAGATACTATGAGAGACCAAGCATTGTGGCAGTACCTTACCACAGAGCTATAGTGCCCACCTAGAATTAGGCATGGTCTAGGGGAGGATCCTGCAGGATTTCCCGTATTAAACTGAGATAAATGGAAGCTGTTAACATAGGGATATACTTCATCAATTATGTAAAACAACAAAAATGTCAAAAATCTGAATAGGCAGCTGAAAAAGATGACTCTGTACAGCTGGGGCATGATTATGTTCTGTGACTTGTGACCACTGTCTTGCTCTTAATTAACCAATTAGTATCAGGACAGCTGGTCTTGGGGGTTGGGGAGCGAGGGCGTGTGTGTGGTCAGTCTTTTTGGAGAGCATTAAGGCAATATATTTTTTTCAAAGAACTTAAATACAACTTTGAGTTCTTCACACCAGCCATTATTCTAAGCACTTAGTGAATATTAACCCATTTGACACCGTGATCCCCATTTTGAAGAAGAAACAGACACAGGGAGCTCAGTAACCTGATCAAAATAACACAGGCAGGAAGGAAGTACGTGCCCAGGCTCTCTGCTTCCAGAGACCAAGCTTAGAACAATTGCACCAAGCTGCTGCTTCATAAAATGTACTTAATTTTATAAAAATTTTCATGTTTTGACCTCAAAATTGCTTTTTCAGTAATTAGTCCTAAGGCAATAACCACAACATCCTAGACAAATGGACATATGAGAATAGCTACATAGTATAATCTTGGGGACAACCTACCTACATGGCCAACAATGGGAATAGGATGATTAATCAAAGGGTGCTTTATAGAAGTTACGTTTTAAAAATCGCTCCCCCAGTGCTCCCTCTATACACTCAGTCGCACTTGGATTCACGGTAGGATGGAAAGCAGCACTGTCAATGTTACATGCACATTGGAACTGGGCCCAGGTTAACATACTTTGATCGTTGGATCCTAATAATGCCACACCTTACTTTATAGACAAAGGACCTGAGGTCACAAAATAAGGGGAAGAGCTGGGGTGAGAATTCACATTACTGCATTTTGTTCTTCTCATCTTCTTCTTCTGTCAATTATTGAGAACTGATAAAAAAAGTCTCTTTACGTTTTCATCTTTAATGAAATGACATTGGAAAGAACATACATTTCCATGACACCAAAATTACAGTTTCGGAGTCACAGTTAGAATCCTATTCGTTCTGTAATTAACACGAATGCTAACATCTCTAGCTGTTCATCTTTGTTACATGGCAAACAAAATCAAGAAAGCAACCATCAAACAAGAGACCCCCAGCTTCAGACAAGGCTAAGCCCAGTCTGGTGTGTGAAAACCGCTGCTGCTTCAGCAAAGGGTTTCTGGCGTAATCTATGATGGGGCTGCCAGGCGGTTCCGATACCATCATCAGAACCAGTCATCCTTACTATTGCAGCACCTGCACCAATAAATAAGACTGCAGACAGAGCCAAGAAGAAAGCTGGACAATGAATACGCTCAAAAAATTATAGATGCCTTTGAATTATGTTGAAGAATATTGATTATACAGTGGACTGCCAGGAGAATGAACAAATCTGTCTTAAAAGGACAGGTGAAATGCTCCCTTAGAAGCTTGAACGGCGAGATTTCATCTCGTTGTCACTGAAGTGGAAGCAGAGGAGGTAACCAAAGTATCCAAGTGTTAGGTTAGAACTGAGTACAAATTCAGTCAGTCAACAGAACTGAGTGCAAGTATCTCTAGCAGGGTGGGGTTCTAGAGGCACGCGCCTTACACCAACTTCACACTTTTGAGCTAGATGCCTCTCATATAAGATAGGCCTTTGGGTTATATCTGAAGCCTTTCACGCCACGATGCTAAGCCTACATCTGGCAAAACCACCATGTACTTCATCAGGTTGCATGGTCCCAGGCACCCAAATGAGCTCCTGTAGACTTGGGAGGACAGGGCACGCAGCACCAGCCCCAGAGCAAAACAGGGTCAGGCGGGCAATGTACTTTTTGACAGATGGCAAAGCCTGGAAATCCTACTGTGTGGGCCTAAGTTTTGATAGAGCTGAGAAGATCAGTCACTCTGGGGTATTCCACAGAAGAATGATTTTGATTCTGAAAGCTCTGAATGGAAGCCAGACTTCTCAGGAAACCAAACAGAACACCCCTTAATAGAACAAGGTACTACATCCTAGATAGAACCTCTCTGAGACTGTGGTTATTAGATATTTCAGATTCTGTCCACTAACATATCGGCAACAGCAAAGGGCAGTACTAAGGGTGGTGTCCAGATTCGAAAGCAGGAACAGAGTGCACAAGGACCGGTCCTGGCTCCTTCAACACAATCACTTCCATTCTTGTCGTAAAGCAAAAGGTCTAGATTCTATGACCTACAAGACTCGAAGGGACTGCTCTAGTGTTTTATCCTTTGTGGTGCTATTGTTTGGTTTCATGCAGTCAATTCCAATACATAGTGGCCCAAATGGACAACATAAAACACTGCCTCGTCCTGTGCCACCCTCATTATTGAGCCCATTGTTGTAACCACTTTACCAAGTCATCTCACTGGGGAGTTTCCTCTCTTTCACTGACCCTGTACCACGCATGGGGTCTTTTTCTAGGAACTCGTCTTTCCAGGTAACACGTCCACAGTAGGTGAGATGAAGTCTCACCATCCATGCTTCTAATAAGCACCTTGGTTATACTACTTCTAAGACAAATCTGTTCCCAACACATGTTGCCAAAACCGTAATTCAAAGGCATCAATCATTCTTCGGTCTTCCTTACTGTCCAGTTTTCACATGCATATGAGGCTACTGCAAATACCATGGCTTGGGTCAGGCTCATCTTCATCTTCAAAATTACATCTTTGCTGTTTGATACTTTAATGAGGGGTCTTATGCAGTAGATTTGTCCAATACAATACATATTTTGATTTCCTGACTGCTGTTTGCATGGGTATTGTGAATGGGTATTGATTGTGAATACAAGTAAAATGAAATCTTTGACTACTTCAATCTTTTCTCCATTTATAATACTGCTATTGGTTCAGTTAGGAGGACCTTTTAAGTTGAAATGTAATTCATACTAAAGGCTGAAGCCTTTGACCAATAAGTGGTTCAAATCCTCTGCTTTCAGGAGTAACACAGATGATCTGTGTCTCCAATCTTGCTGCCAAAGTCTTCTTCATATACTCTAGCATCTCAATTATTTGCTGAGCATACGGATAATAAATATGGTGGAAAAATAAAACTCCGATGCACTCTTTTTCAGATTTTAAGCCTGCGGTACCCTTTGTGGCCAGCAGAAAGGCATCATTTAAATTGGTAGGGTAGTGGACGTGGGTGGCATGACTTCACAGTAGGAACCTCCTCACCATTTTTTCATTTTACCATGGAGAAGGGATCACCCTTAGTATTCACATTAACTGCAGGCTGGTAAGTAAATACAACACACTCAAAAGTTGTTTGGCTGATACTTTTAATTACATGATTATAATTATACAATTTCTGCTATTCAATAATTTGTTCTAAAACAAATTACAATACATAATATTTTCAAATGCAACAATACATTTCAAACTACACAGATATGCAAAGTGTACAGGCCATTATGAAGCTTTATCTTTAAAAATATCTTCAGGAAAATAAACATTCATTCGACCAGTTCTCTGTTTAAAAAAAATATGATTAGAAATATACATTTTAATAAAAAAATCAAGACAATGATTGATCAAATACTGATAAATCAGTTACATTTTGAAACTTTTAATTTGTACATGAGTACAGTTAGATAAAAGTCTGTAAATTATTCATATAAAATTGCAGTATACAATAAGCAGGCAGACATGACTGCTCACAGTTGATTCTATTGGGCAACTGAATTAACGAGGTAATTTCCTATAAAGTATAGGCAATTTGTATAGTCTTTTAAACATATCTAGAGAATACTCAGATTTTGGAGAGGTGGAAGAGCAATGGCTGTCCTACTGCTATAACAGGGCAGCTTCCATCAGAACTACCTACTAAGGAAATAAAATGGGTTTTTAAAGTTGTTTTTGATGAGCTACTTTCAGAACAAACCTCAAATGGGTGCACTGCTCCTTTGTTACCACCAGTGGATGAAGTAAGGAAGGGCTTCAGGAGCTCTTGGGACCCACTACCCCAAAACACCCGAGGTCTGATCTTGCTCCAAGTGCATAAATATTTGGAGTTCCCCTGTGGAAATGCCTACAACTTGTCTGGGAAGTCTGCCCAAGAACAGGGGTAGAAATCACTCCTGTGATTTGAGAAGGGCAGACAAAAGGAAGTGGTGGAGTGTTAGGCTCCTTTTTGCTTCCTAGGGCCATTTGGATATTTTGACATCACTTAGGAGCCATTCTGGTCAAACATTTAACTTGTCCCTAATGTGATGGCTGGACTGCTTCTCTGTGGAGAGATCTGCGATGCTAGTTGGTATTGATGAATTCATAGGCCCTGTGCCGGTCAGTTCCCCACTCCTGGGCTAAAGGGATCAAGTTTAAGAATGGAAAATTTCTGAACAGAAAAGCAGCAAGGGGCTTGAAAACAGCTATATTTGATAAGTAAGGCGACTTGTTTTCAGAACCAAGCCTTCCTCCCTTAAGGATCACAGAGATTTCTCATTTTCCTTTCCAGTACAAAGCAGAGGTAGTCTGCACTCCCCGGTGCATGCAGGTTTGCAGATACCTGTCCTTTGTACTGTTCCTGACTCTTGATATTTGAGACCTCAGAAAACTTCCAAGAGCACCTAAATCTACTCGTTTCTACTTTTAATTCCCTTGGAAACAGTCTTGGTGTTCTTTCCAAGCTCTTTCAGGCTCTGAAAGGAGGCTCCTTTTCTCACACGCAGCCTTCACTGTACTCTCTCCTACAAGGACTCAAAGTTCGACTGTCAAAAGAATGTGGGTGTATTGGGGCTTCCATTGTAAAGAGAAAGAGAAGAGTCCAACCGGATGCAGAGCAGGAAGAACTTTCTATCAGTCAGGCCCAAAGACTTTCCGGATGCTAGGTATGTTCCCAATGTTCACCCCAAGTAATTTGTGCAAAGAAATAGTTCCCAACGAACTTACTAATTTCCTGTGACTAATTTTACTGAGTTTTTTAAGTGCAAAGATTTTTCAAAGGAGCCCAAGGATAGCAATTATAGCTGGAAATTTAAACAGCCAACTTGATAAAGGGAAGTTACTGGATACAAAATACTGTGGTTAACACTAAAGCCCCCAATTTTTACTCCTGACCAAGACACCAAATGGTTTTATTCATTCTGAGGAAGGTAGTCATTCATCATGAGCCAAGGCTGGCAGCACATTTACTTGTTCTAAAGTAATGAACAACCAAACCAAGAAAAACTCAAATGGAAGTCTGATTTTCACAACCTAGGATTATTTATGGAGGAGATGGCCTTTAGAAATATCAGGGGGGAAAAAAGAGTTGCCCTGAGAATGTGCATGGGGGCATTGTTTGAAGATGAAGGATATCTTCCAACACAAGGCAGCAAAGGGAATGTTCCTCCTCCCACTCAGATGTGATTAAGGAGCAATGGTCCTACAACCAAGTGGGTCTTTGTGCCTTTTCATTACCAGGGAGAGAAAAGCACTCATCTGTGATCTAGTCTCCAGTGTTGAAAACTGGCCAGATCCCACACGCATCGCGCCAGATGAAGAAAGAGCTGCTGCTTTGGCCAAGCCATGGCATCTTCCTCCCCCCTCGATGCCAGTTCATTTCACCAGTCAGTCTAGTCTGTGAGCACACTCCAAAGGAAGCGACTGCCTGGCCTGTTTATTTCATCGACTCGCAGTAGTTCTGTTTAAAAGCTTACACCATAAAGATGTTTGCCAGCCTCTTCCTTGCCAAACTTCCTTTTTAAACTTGGATAGACAAAAACTGGCTAATGTTGACCAAAATCATTCACTTTTTTAATGGAAGTAACTAAGGTGGCTGAAAGCAGTCTTTTCTTTTGGGCCCCAACTTTTGATGGTAATAAATTCATCCTTTTTTTGTGGCTGCTTTGAATCAGAGATTCAGCTATGTTTTCGTTAGGGTTGAGGGGCGAAGGCACTCTGCAGAGTCATTAGCTGTATCCCAAACCGAAGGCAACGGTGAGTCCTCAGTTTTGCAGACCACTGGAATGCAGATGTAGATGACTGGCAGAGAAGCACAGGGTATGTGAGGGCGAGCACGTGAAGACAAGCCACAGTGCTAGAGAGGAAGGCCTACTAAAACAGGGAAGCGTGAGAAATGTCACCATTATTTAGGGCCTAAATTTCCTAGCAGAAAGAGCAACAGTACGTGTGTATGTTCCTGCATGGATGAAAAAAAGGTTTCCTTTTGTATGGCGGGCAGCCCTGGCCTTCTTCAGTCACCACATGCGCGTCCAGCAGCCGTCCAACTTTGAAGCCAATTCCTCCTCCTGAGTCTTCTAAAGCTACCGTTAACGTTCTCCATTACCACAGTACTGCTTTGCTGCTCAACATGAAACAGTATTAAAAAGTGGTTCCCACAAATTCTTCTTAATAAAGCACTTTGGTGGAAGACAAGCAGCGTGGGTACTTAACAGAGTTAACATCACAATAGTATCACAAATTGAAACATCAAATGACAGAAGGTACCATTTGAATAATTGTATAAATCTTGATATTGAGTCACAAGATGAACAGAAAATAAATATATAAAAAACCTCCATCAGAGATTCAATTCTTCTGAAGGGCAGCAGCTAAAATGATTGCCATCACAAGGGACACACATGCGCCACAAAGACTAGGCAGCTCTCTTCATAACAGAGGGCTTTGACAATTACACCTGAGACTAAATTGACAACAGCTTTGTTGTTGTGAAACTTGAGACATTTCTACAAAAATTTGAGACTTCTTCCAATCATTGCCTTGTACCCAATCTCATTTAGCTATTTAGACTCCAGGGGACATTTTTTCTTCACTGAATAAACTTCGGTGGAAAGCAGCGAAGGCTTTTTACAATTCTGTTTCGTTTTGTTTTCAAATAAATTGTGCTAAATCCAGTTGTAGTTCTTCTGTTCCTAAAGTCTTCCTTCAGTTCTGGGCACAGGTGTTGTATTAACGCAAGACTGTTTTAGTCCTTGAAATGGAGGGACTGTAAGGGGGAGAAAAAAAAAGGATGTTTATCATGAAGGTTTAAAGTATTATCAAAGGTTTATGTAGTCATGAAAGACAAGGAAGGCAACATAACAGTAATTATAGCACTTTGTATAATTTTTCAAAC